TCTCTCTCTCTCTCTCTCTCTCTCTCTCTCTCTCTCTCTCTCTCTCTGCAGAAAATACAGAGACGCCGGTGCGACGGACGCAGATGGAAAGTGAGCAAACAGTTCCCACACACACCGGTAATTAGCTTAATCTACGTCTTGCTTTAGTCATCTCCTGACAGTCAAATTAAATATTGTGTGGACTAACTTGGTCGTAATGGCACCAGGCTTGTTTTATGACAAGTGGGAGGGATGCCAGTGAGTCTACCAGATTTGGTTTTGTGCAGCAGAGACATCATTATTTTTTTCAACATGCATCTCGGTCCAGCACCAAATCTGAGCATCCCTCTACTTTCCCTACAGCTCCCCATCCATCATATTGTTCCTCCTCTTAGCCTTCATTGATCTTCTCATCCACATTTATTGCATCCTCCATCAGTCAAACCTCTTTTCCATTTCCCCACACACCCATGTCACACACGGTGGCCACGTTTCTGCACTCCTCTGGCCGTGTTTGTTCCACGGCAGAACAAACCGCGTCGTGATAACTTGGGATTCTCACCCTGCACCGTGGACACTTCTGGGCGTTTCTTTGCCCGTGCTCTACGACGCTGGCCCAGCCTCGTAGCAGCTTGTCTCCCTTCCTGTAGTCGCGACATTTGACCCCATTGTGCCACGGCGCATGGCATTTAAAGCACCACACAAACTGGCAATTGCTGCACTGGATCTAAGGTGGGGACACAAGAAAGCAAGCACACCCTTAAGTTACTTCTAAACGTATACTTCAGCTTTAATTTTCTGATGTATTTCCTTATGTTTCGTTGGCGTATTGGAGCCGTCATCTTACCTTGTACTTGTGCTCGGAGCGGCTGGGGTTGTTCCCCTTCAGGGAGGTGAACTGGCTGCACTGGGGGCAGGGTTTGGTGCCCGAGTCCAGCTGACTCAGCTCCAAAAAGTAACGATATTTTGCCACGTCCTCATTGGCTAGATAGGAAATCACCACTCCCTCCTCCAGGTAGCCGCTGCACTCTGGGATCGGACAGCCGATGTACGATTTGGCTACTCGCACCTGGGAAACATCACAAAAAGAAATGTGATTCCAAAAGGTTTGCAATGAGACAAAGAACATGTGTTCAACCGTGTGAACGTGACACTTAAATGTCAATACGAAATATATATCGCAACACCACAATTTGAATCTCTTTTGTCTTTCAGTGTCTTTCACCACCAAATCTGCACGTGGAGTAAATTCACACCGCAGACGGGACGGTTAATGATTTACCCAAGAGTAGAGGCAGTAAGAGGCAGCTGAATAGAAGGCTGGAGGAGGCCGTGGAGAGAGTGGAAGTTAATATGTATCAAAGCACACAATAACACACGTTAGTTACTTCGCACCAAGTGCTCGGCAGTCATTTAGCAGACCTCACAGACATCACAGAGCCACAGACATTTTAAAATAAACCGTTAAACGAATTCAAAATGTTACAAAGGAGTCAAAATAAACATCAAACATATAGTTTGAAACAAGGCTTCACCACCTTCAGGGACATTTTCCGTCAATAAATTCACACCTGGGTTCAATACAGGTGAGTGTGTTCGTATCTCAACTAATCTGACCTTAGATACATTAAGTATCACACTTCATTTTCACCATCTAGCTCTGTCTCTTTGTTTTTCTTTCCTCTCAGGGCATCTCTTCTTCCATCGCTCTCTCTCTCTTCCTCATTTCACATATTCTTTCTGTCTCTGCTCTCTGCACATCTTCAGGCCATCAAAGCCAGTGACACCAGCTGCACTGACACATGATAAGGCATTTTGTGTGTGTGTGTGAAATGACAGCAAGAACAACAGCATCAGCCTCTGACAGTGTTACACCCAACACACACACACACACACACACACACACACATACTAAAAGCCTGTTACAAGATTCTAAGATGTATCCTCTGGAGGGCATGAGAGCTGCGATGTGTTAGTGTTGTTGTCACAACACAAACACTGTGATGACCACTGCCAGACTGGTTGGACGGGTTGTGAGTGCTGCCAATCTGTCTCTCACATACACATGTCACCGTCATTCCGGAGTCCTTGTACACTGAGGTGTACTTCTGCTAGTTTGCAATTCATGCATGAGGCCATATTTGGAGCCTGACTGGTGGTGCTTGAGCTCATGTGACGGGGAAATGATGTAGAGATGCAAATGTTCCCAGTGAAGCTAAACACATCTAAACACCTAATGTTATGGCAGAATACATTCTCTACTATCAGCGACCATATCCTTATTTCTAACCTTTAGAATAAGCCCGACGCTACTGCCTTGAATAACAGCAAACTACTGGTTTTAAGACATGGTTAGCACCAAACCAGTGCAGTCTAGTCTAGTGCCCAGGAGCAAGGCACTGAGCACATACTCCAATCTCTCTGACATAACGCTTACTGTACCCACTGAGGGTTTGCAGTACATTGACGGGAAAAAAAATATTCCACCCACACAGGATAGTTTACACAACCCGTATCTCATTTCAGTGTTGTTATCAGAGCATGTCTCTGTGTTTGTGTGATTATTCGTGCCTCGTTATCACAGCATGACAGATAAAATGCTGTCCGTCTCACCGATAAACACTGTTTTATCTAAACAGATTAAAGGAGATTACAGAAACAGTAGCAAAGGACCTGCGATTGTTACTTGCGACAGCATGCAGGTTTGTTTTGATCAGAGGATCGTACCAGTTCATGAAACCGGCACTTTAAAAGACATCCATCCTGAAATACTTTAGCTCCGTTAGATCGGTGACGTGCCTTTCATTGCCGAGTCCCTATTTCTAAGGCAGCTACACTGAATCAAAGGAAGTTAATGTATCTCTCATCTATTATTCAGTTCCTTGATTTAAATCGTCAATGAACATGAGCTCTCACTGAACATATAGTGTTGCAACAGACCTATTTTTGGCTGAGTTAAAGAATTACTTTTGCAAATGGTGCTGCTCTCTCCGTGTACACTTAAAAACGCACGGCTCGGGCATATTTTCTGGCATCAACAAGAGGCATTTTGGGACGTGAGGGCAACGATGTAGGAGATGCACCATGTTAAAGGACACACGTGTGACCTGCAGATGTTGCCTTGTGACATTTAAGTATGAAACAGAAAGCCTATTTCGACCTTTAATCATGTGAGGGGTCAGATTGCTCAATGCCAGCCAGCTCCAGGTATTTTACAACAGCTCCCAGAATTGATCCATGCCTCAAGGCTTTGAGTAGATAATACACCAAACACAACACTTCAGCATCGTGAGTGTGTGTTGTTGTTGTTGCTGCTCAAGGACACTTCAACGAGCTGCTGACTGACCCAGCAAGACCTGCACTAACCCCCCCCCCTGTTGCTCAACCTCCCTCCTACCAACCTGGGAGCTGACGTAGAGTTTCAGACACTCGTCGCACACGGCCTTCCTGCAGCAGGGCAGGGGTGCGATGGTTTTCGACTCCAGGCACACCCGGCAACTCTGCACCGCAGTCTCAGCACCGGCCTGCTCCGTGGACAGCCGGTGGGCCATCGCACCGAAAGGGGCCATCGCACCGAAAGGGTCCACCAGGTCGTCCAGTGTGTACAGAGCTGGTTCGGGACTCGAACCCACGTCCAGGTCCATGTCCAGGTCCATGTCCGGTGCGTCTGACGCGACCGTCTCATCGTCCGTGATTTCAACTTCTCGCTGGCGGTCGTTAGCGATGCAGTAAACAGTGCAGTAGACGTGCTCTTTGGTGCTAAAAGACTCGTCTGAAGCGACTGCTTCGGTGTCACCGTCACGCCTGTGACGTCGCTGACCTGTAACTATTACGCGTTCAACTCCTTTTACGTTAGAAGTCGTCAAGTCGCTCGGGGTTGGCTCGTTTTTAGTCCCCGTGTCGCCCGTTTCTCGCTCCGACTTTTTACACTCGCCGCGTTCATTTCCGTAACCGTTTGAAACGTCGTTGTTAACGTTTCCTTCGCGGGTTTCATGCATCCGACTGTTTGTATTAAAACACAGAGAGGGAGACTTCGAAACGCCGAAATTCCTCCTCAAAATCTCGACAGCACTCGCCCTCCTCCTCCTCTCTCCTCCTCTGCCGTTGCAGTTGTTGTTGTTGTTGCCCTTCGCATCCTTCCCTTCCTCGCCGCTCCTCTGCTCCGAGTACCGCTCACCTCCGTCGAGGGACAACCGGGAGTTTGATCTGGTGACACGACGACTCAGATCTCTGACCGACGGTTCAACTTTGCCGTCCGTGGAGGAAGTTTCTGTCGGCAGGTTGCGGGACAATTTCCCCCTCCCCTCCTCGAGACTGCTCATACAACTCGGCATGTCACAGGCGTCGTCTATCGGTTCGTCATCTTCCATCCCCGATGTTGTTCTCCCCATTTAGTGAGCGGGTTCTCTCACCCGGACGGTCCTCTCTCTCTGCCCGTCCACCTCTTATCCAAATGCTACTACCAAAACAAAACAAAGCGGAGAGCAGCTCGGTGCTTCCGGGTGTCGTCGTCGGCGTGTAGAGAGCAGCGATAGGCCGATGGGAAGCCTAGTGGTGGAGTGCAGGCTCCAGCTATACTGTGGAGAGTGTAATTATATAAAACATATAAAACACAACTGAAACAACTCAGGAATTGAAATTAGGATTTTTGACAGAAGGGCTCTTTTCAAAACATGGGTTTTAAGATCAGGTGATAGCAGGATCCACTTTATAATTTGAGACGGTATTGGAAAAAAAATAAAAAATAATATATATTATATATATATATGTATATATTTTTATTTATTTTTGAAAAAAATTAGATATTTTTGTATTTATATATATATATATATATATATATAATATCTACATTGTTCATCATGTGAAAAGATAAATAAAAATAAATACATATATAGAATTTTATTGTTTCTATGGAAGCACATTTCCGCCAGCCAAAAAAAATAAAAGAGGTAACTAAAAAAAATAATAATAATCCACCCCCCGAGAAAAAAAAAAAGAAAAGATTTTTAACGTTTAAAGAAGTCTTCAATGTACTCACAATCTATATCTCAAATGTAGGGTAACCTATGAAGAGCTGCTTCTATGACTCATAATTTCGACTTTCTATAGCAACTGGAAACATCTGGTCAGTGTTATGGTTACAGATGGATGCACCAAAAGTGTTGGTGCATCTTTTTTTTATGCTGGTGGAAAAAAAAATAAAAAAATAATTAGAATTCATTTATTTGTTTCTGTCGGAAATGGGCTTCCAGAGTTTCCCCCCAATTCCGTCTGAAATTAAAAAGTGGTTCCTGCTATCACCTTCACCAGCAATCTTAAAACCCATGTCTTGAAAAGAGCCTTTAAGTCAAACATCCTAATTTAAATTCCTGAATTGTTTCAGTTTTGTTTTGTATTGTTGCATATCCCTACAACCAATCAAGGTTGTTTATCACAACCTGGTAGCCAGGAAGTCGGCTATAACAGTGGAGACGACGTAAAATACATAATATGTGTGTTATCGGTGCTTCATCATGGGTGAGATGTGTCCAAGAACAGTCACAGCCTTGCGTCTACTGTTTGAAGCTCACTAGCTGTTTCCACTTACTGTAAGAGCAGCTTCATGAATGATTTAAATTACAGGTCCAGGTATGCTCAAATATTCAGAAGCAATTGGGACAGAACTGGATCATAATACAATACAAATTTTGTTTAATTACTTATCTTTTATCCCTTTGGGCAAACGAAAGTCAATGTCCACTCATTAACTAAGATTCAGAACTGCAGCTCTGGTGTTTTATGATAAAGTCGCAAGAATTTATTTTTATTTTTAATTGCATCATACACACAATTCTCCTCATTAAATCACCCATAACCAGAAGGCCTTTTATTCTGACGGGGAAAGTGACACAAAGAATGAAAGTAATTTGGACGGTCACATATTCAGTTCAGCGCTGTTGGGGCGCCTGTAAAATGGGTTGTTAGCTCTGTTACAATCCCTCATTAATGCCATAGGGCGCAAGCCACACGGTAATTAGTTTGCTTGTCCCGGCTGTGCCCAATTGGTTTTAGTGGAGAATGCCAACAATGCTAAAAAGTTTTTTTCAAGTGTGAGTCACCCGCTTATTGCATAAAGCCAGGAAGCCCATCAGATGTTTTCTGGAGTGTGCTGTTTCACATTTTAGCAAGTCAAAAAGTGGAGACGTTCTGCAGGCTACAAAAAATATTTAAAGTACTTCCAATCTCGAGCATTTACTCCATCTACACGACGAAGGCTTTGCTTTCTCACTGGAGAGGTTTTCAGTCTTAATTGGGTAAATGTTTCATGATTTACTTTAACACCGTTATCCTCAGGGATTTAAACACTGAATTTACCTTTGAGGATGTAAGAATCCCACCCACTCCGCTCCTCTTAATGATTGCCGGTGCGTTTCCTCGGCAAAGGAACAATAATGCTTCCTGGCAACGACTCTGTCTGTGTGTGTGCACGTTAAAGAGATACAAATGATGTCTTTTTGGATCCAGTTTCCACAGGTTTGGCTTCAGTTCAGTTGCATTAGAAAGTGGATTTTCTATTCTTCAGAACTTAATTACTGGAAAACACTTTGCTGAACAACAAACTCAACCCCAAAGGAAAGAACTCAGGCTATAAAATACTTTGTCTTTCGCAAGCTTAATGTAGCAAATGTAAATAATTTAAGGTCACAGAAAGCACAAAAGAATGACTGAAGAGAGGACACGATATAGACTTTCCTTCTCCACTGTCTACTTTATTCCCAGCTGTCGAGTTTATGTACAGTCAGTCACCTGTGGGGAAAAAAACATCATGAAGAGAGAAGGCGTTAAACCAACATAGATGGTTTTAGTCAGTGGTGAACGTAAACAAATCAACCCAGAGCCACAGAGAATGTATTTCACCGTTTTCACTGGCGACAGATTCCTGCACTGATGTACTGACCCTGTGAATAGTTGCTTAATGTATTGTGAAAATGTGTTATTGCACTCTCTAAATGCTCCTCTAACATAATAGTCTCTGACTGCGACAGTCCAATGTCTCTTAGTTTAATGTCACAATGAAGAGACACGTTTTGTATTCGACAATTTGTAGGAACAAAAGATGTTTTAGCACAAGATAAGAGCTGAAGCTGAGCGGTGACCAGGCCACACCCACACAGTCCTAATGAAACACACCAGCTAAGCTTTTGTTAACCTCCTAATGAATAACATCTATAAATATGTTGTTTTTTATTTGATTTAGTTTATAAACATCTGAGATTATAGAGGAAAAAACCTAACATTCAAAATCAAGCTTTCAGGGGCTTTGAATTCAACACTTAAAAAATATTCATCAAAATAGTTTTGATGAAGCTGAAGATGCTGCTTCTCGCTTTATGAAATGCAAAATTGATTTTGTAATTTTGTGAAAGTTTAGCCAAACCCATAAACGTCTTTCCATATTATTCATACATTTATTCAGCATCATATTACAGGAATAACTCATAACTGCATACTCTTACCACAACTGTAAAGCTTCGAGAGGAGGGATTTGTAACTCCTAATACAGATTCAGGACTTTACAACAGCTTGACTGAATGTTTATTGACACCATTTAACAAAATAAGAGCTCGCCTCAAGCTTCTGCTGCAAATGCTGAACTCTTTATGTACAGATGTGCATTCCTAGATCTACAGACAAGACGCTCTATTGACTGATCCAAAGTCTAAATGTGATAAATGTACGACGTGTGGATTCTGTCTTCATTATTACTTAAAAATATATTATAACTGTTGTTATTGCTGTTCATTAACAATCTTTGATGACTTCTTCAATTTCCTTCAGCTTCGTTTGTGTTGAAGATGTGGCTTCGCAGGTTCTGGGTTAAGTGTCGTTTAGTTCACCATGACACAGAAAAGTCGCGCGCACACACACACACACACACACACACACACACACACGTGTCACATTAGATATCTGAAATCCTCTCCTGTATCTGCCAGATTGGCGTTTCTTTTAGGTTGATTTTGTTCCACAGTGCCAGGTAATATTGCCTTGATCGACTCCATTAAAGGCAAATATAATAACATGAATTCACTTTCAGTTCAAGTTCTCTAACGACACAAGCAACTATCTTTTTCAATGACGCTTTCAATAATGGACATGTGACCCTTTTCACAGCATTTGTTCCTGATTTGAATTTTGCAAAAAGACACTTCATCTGCAGTCAGTTCATTTATTAAAAAGCAACGTGTGGTGCTGGTTAGTAAATGAATATTTTAAAATCAATTATGTGCTGAAGTGAAAGTGAATTTCCAGCCCTGACAGAATTGTTAATGAAAGAATTACAGACTATAGTGCAACTAATTCCCTTTCCTCCCAATCTCCTCTTACTCTCTCATCTCAAAATACACTGTACAGTTAGAAGAAATAAAACATAGTAGTCCCACTTGTACACAACATCATACATTAGTAGTCAACTAGAAAAAACAGTAAACACGGCCACACGTGATTAAAAAACGTCTAGAAGTTCAAAGTTACATTTCATCGTTTTACATTGTAGTTGCTATTTTACCTCCTTTACTCGGCGGACATTTCAGACTGCGTTATTTATAGAAAAATCACAAAGTTCACATTTAGGACTCTTTCGAGAGTTGAGGAGCATTCAACAAACCAAACAGTTCCCATTTTAAGTAGCTAGTTAGTCACACGCAGCATGAGATTAAATACGCAACAGTTTGGAAACACCTCATGCAAACACACAAAAAGTTGTTTCTGTCCTCCAGAGCGACTGTCTGTGGAGCCTCACGGGGCAGCGACTCTGAACGTATCGCCCACAGTTCTGTTATAAAACATGAACGGCTGAAGATAACTGGCAGGGGGGGGGGGGGGACTTTGTAGTTTGTAGAGGGGGAAAAGTCCATCATTTTATCAGTGCTTTCACCAAGAAACGTTCCTCAGTTGACGGAGAAGGCCTCAAACATTTTGGTCCAGTGATTGCAACACAAATGCAACACGATTTGTTTCACTTCCAGAAGGAATCAGTTGTTTTTTTTGTCAGCAGAATAAAAGAGAGAAGCCTGCTGGTCGCCTGGAATGCAAATGTGATTTTTTTTTATATATTTGTGATATCCTCGCAATTTTTATCACATGGGAACCCAAGAAAAGTGAACCTGAGACCCATTATTTTTGGTCCCAGTCTGTGGCTTTCAGAAACCAGGCTCTACGGATGTCCATGTGGGGATATCGTTGGCACTTTCAACATTAACATTTGAGTGGTGAGGTGAAGAGAGGGAGATGCTAAGACTCTGGCGTCTCTCTGGTATCATTTTTGTCCTCGTTAGTCTGCAGGCGAGGGTGAACGTGTGCAGTGTCGTCGTGGGATTCAGCCTCTGTCGTTTCCTTTCTCCTCCTTTCCCCAATCTTTGTCACTCACCAGTGTTTCGGAAATGCAGTATATCAATCAAAACAATAAATAATTCATCAAATAATCCAAATAAGATGCTTCTCTGCTCCCTCATAACAATGACAGCCATTTTTCAGCTTTTTGGCACATTTTGTATGGTACAAAAAATGCCAATCTATGGTGAGATTCAGGACGATCTGACAGTGATTGTCACTTCTGTAAAAGGTGTGTGTTTTCCCTATGTGTAAGCGTTGTCTGTGGATATTCTGAGATATTTCTGTTGTTAAGGAGGGGTGGGTGCTGCACATTAGGCTGATTGGGCACTTGATCTGGCCTCCAGCTTTTTTACTTCTTTTTATAATTCAGAAAAAGGGAAAAGAAAACTCTGCCTGCTGAAAGAGATGGGCGAGTGTGACGAAGGACGCTTGGCATCGAGAGCTACAAGGACCGAGGTGGAAGGGAAACTGTTGCCTCACCTCAATCCCTCTTCTGGAGACCAAAACTCCTCTGTCTGTATTATTACGTTATAAAACACCCAATGGCCTTTGGGATGCTGCATCTAGAACGTTTCTTGTCTGTCTCCCAGTCTGCCTGTCTACATGTCTGTCAGGTGTTCAGTCTTTCTGAATTTTGGAGTATTGTAAACATTGTTAAGAATCACATAAAAAATGTTAATACATCTGTTATGTGTGTGTGTGTGTGTGTATTGTGCATGCGTGTGTGGATTCACATACGCATTACCTAATGCCTGTGTATGTCAATGCGTGTTTCCTGTACACATGCACATGTGGAATGAAAGTATGTAAATCTACACACAGCACTGTCATTTAACATTCAACGGAATAAAATGTGTGGCGTGTACTCGCACTTGAGTCCAGGCCGTGACTTGTATCGGGATCCCATCTTTGCTGCAACGAGAACCCGAATGCACCAAAAAAGTAACCTTAGAAAAGAAAGATGTCTGACATTCCTACATCGGTAGTCTTGCTAGTAGATGCTTGGTCAGTTTGGTTGGAAGTCCAGTGTCTGATGTTTCAGGCACGAAGAGCAACAAAAGGTCCAGAGATTGTTTAGCGGGCTCTGTTGTATACATAGCTTAAAGAAACCGGGCTACACGTTAACACATCACACGTCGTGTGTTCTCCTTGGAAGTCTGAAGAAAGACGTCGGTAATTCACCAATGGGCCGCTTTACATCCCTTTGGTTTCCTTCACAATGCAGATGCCCAACATCACAAGAGGAATATATCTGGGTCCCTCAGAGACCAAAAAAAAAAAAAAGATGCAGGTATCATCGGAGCTGCCTGTCTTGGTATTTCACACATGTCCTGCAGCTACCGTATTCAACCATAAGAGGCCAGTGTTTCATCAGGAACAGAAATAACCATTATAACAGCAGACAGGCAGACCAGGGAAGCGATCTGATTACTGGCGGGGTGGGTGGGGGACAGATTGAAACGCAGAATATCTTAGTGTCTTCTGTATCCTGTCTACTTGTCTGTGTCTTGGTTGTTGTTTTATTAAAAGACAGTTGGAGTAGTAAAAGCAGGATGTTAAGCAGTGGTGGTTGGTAAGGCAGCGCTCCTGGAGTAGCTCCTGGGTTTTTACTTTGACCTGAATGAAGAGAGGAGAGGGTTACACAAAATAGTGACTGCATCTCTTTTATTGCTTCAGCATAGATTTAAAGGTAAATGTTTATGTGAACCTCTTAAACTGCAACTCTTTGAGAAGTAATTGAGGACAGTGAGGATTAAGAGGGTTATGTTTAATTGCTTAGCGGTGCATTTGCTCAGCGTCGTCCTTGATAAAGTGATTCACTCCGGCAAAAAAAAGCTGAACAACATTAATGTTCAATGAGGACATCAGAAGCACTTGTCCTGTGTATTATAATAAGAGATTATAATAAGAGACAGCTTGAGCACAACCACATGGCTGTCCTGACTTTGATACTTCTCCTCCAAACTATTAAGAACAAAAACAAAAAGCAAGAAAAAAATGCAATCTATATTACCGCTTACAGAATAATATCCCATATGTATATCTAACACAATTGTTAACACAATGTAAATGACAGTGCCTTAAAGTGAGACTGCCAGTATGTAGCCTTTAAGAGAAGTAATCGCACATCTTCCTTTTACTTTGTTGTTCAATCTGAAGACTCACTTGGTCTGGTATGACCAAGTTCCTAATACAACTAGTTCTGACTTCTGAACAAAGTAACATCAATTGTGGAAAAATAAATGAGACGTAAACTTACGGTCACAACTTGATATTTTGTCTCTGCATTGTTAATGTTTTCAGATGTCATGATGTGTTTGGAATTATGCTTAACCCTCATCTGAATGCAACACATGCTTTTGGGGGTCAACAATAAGTTGGTCTTTTTTCTCTTTGCAAAGAAGCTTACATTTCTACAAAATTCTGGAGGCAGCGAATGTTGTCAAGCTATTTTTTGTGTGTGCGTGTGTGTGGGAGATTTCTATTGGGACGATACAGCTGATGCCTTTTTTTTTTTTAACTAGTCCCTGTGGCCAGAGTCAATAAACACCAAAGTGAAGGGACAACAGCTGGGGAACAATGATAGCATATAGATGATGTTTGTGCAAGTGCGTGTGTGCATATGCATGTGTGTGTGTGCATTAATGAACAAGCACAAGATGTCTATCAGCACATTTACTGTGTGTTGTTTGTATGTGTGCTTGTGTGTTATTTGTGTGTGTGTGTGCCTGCATCTGTGTATATTCATGCTCCAGCTCTTGTGTGAGTTTGCAGCCATTATCTTGGGGGTCGATGATTTATGATCTGTGTTATGACTTCCGCAGGGGACATATAAAACTACAGAATGGTCCTTTATTGCCTTTCTTCTTTGTTTAGTCCTTCGTTTCATCCATCACTCTGTGTTTATCTTCCCCCCCCCTCCTCTCTCTCTCTTTCTTTCTTCGAGTCTCTCGCCTATCTTGATCTCACTTTCTCTCTCCATCTCTGTCTGTCTGTATCTGTCTGTAATTCGTTCTGGCTCTTTTCTCTAATAAAAACAGTTATTGATCAACTGTCCGCTGTACGTCAGTGGAATCGCCATTATTTCCGTGTTGTTGTTTGCTACAGTTGTGTAAGCTTTTGCTGTATTGCTTGGCGCTTGCACGGGACGAAGTGAGACAGCGAGATTGATGCAGGGCTGTGTAAGCCTGGACTCAGACTCATTTTGTGTTATCCGATTCCTGGCTCTTCGGGCACAAGAATAGCTGAAGATCTCAACGAAACAGGAATCTGTGGTTTTGAGTCTCTGGAAATCCCCACATAAACTACAATCTAGCCTGCGAGGGCACGAAATAAAAGCTTCCAAATGCAACGATAACAATAAAACAGCTAACAATGAAACAAAGCTTCAGCAAGAATGACATCGAGGATACCGAGGCTTTGGTTAACACGCCCCACATCTATTTGCCACTTGTGTCGAGGTGATAAAAGCTCTACATCAGTGATAACTGATGAGACCTTGGGCTGATAAATGATAAGCCCTTATGCTGATACGGCGAGAATGTGTTTATATCATCCTCACTGCAGAACTCAACACATGAAAAGCAGATAAAAAATGTGTTGATAGTGGGGTTGGAATTTAAGAGGGTCTGAGGGATCTGGAGTGCATTCAAGGAAGGACAACTGGATTTCTGGTCACCATTTAGCACAATTTTATCCTCATCTTTAAGACTTATATTGTGGGTTTGTGATAAAAAATCATCAAAACATTTAGTTTGAATATGTAACATTTGTATATAAATAGAGAAAAACTATACTTACATGTACATGGGCTGTAGCTGAAGGTGGGAGGTCTTCTGAGGCCCCTGGTAACCGTACGAGTCGAACCCTCCTATAAAATCAACTGCACAAAAACAACACCAATTAGAGAAAGAGTATGCCTTTGTGGTTATCAACTGGGAACCTCCCACCACCAATGAGTCATTGCACAAGGCCTCCTACACCTGCAGAGTCGTCAACATTTTGTAACAGAACTAGCACCTCTATCCTCTATCGCTCTCCGAGCTAATCATGATGATTCAAATCTTTAGGAGGAAGACCACATCCTGTGAAGTGATGTATTTATGCCTTGAGAATACTCTTAACTCCTAAATTATATAGGATGGCTCTGCAGATTCCGGGGCTGAGGAGTTGCCAGCAGGTGGTTGCTTTTCTCAGACTGAGGCAGAGCGCCTGGACTTTTGAAGAGAGGAAGCCGTGATATTTTCTTTACTTTGAAGTTGTAGAGCTCATAAAAGGGTCCTTCCTTGCCTTGATCAGCAGCGTACTTTCGCATTTATTGAGTGAGGTTTCATACCATCAAGTACAATGTGGAAGTGGCAGCACACTGCAGAGATGAAAGTTGCTTTAGGAATGCCGTAAGCCTGCAAGAAGCAGGGATGTAAGTCCCTGCTTCTTGCAGGCTTACGGCATTCCTAAAGGAAGTGGCAGCACACTGCAGAGATGAAAGTTGCTTTAGGAATGCCGTAAGCCTGCAAGAAGCAGGGATGTAAGTCCAAACATGACGTGGAAGCCAAACCCAGTCAGGCAATTAAACTAACTAGTTTGTGTATGCCTCTATTAAAACACAATGCAAATGCAATATGTATGGAGATGTTGTGTTATCATATCTTTAAATCTCATTATAATGAGTATAGTGGATATAATGCTGTAACTCACCTTTTAAAAGAATATTTTGACATTTTGCCAAAAAGGTTTTCCATCAGATGCTAAATTCAACGCTGTGGGTTGAGACGACGTAAGAGGGTTAGCTTAGCTTAGCAGAAAGACTAGAAGCAGGTGCAAATAGCTAGCCAGGCTATTTCCAAACATACTTTTTTTTTTTTGCCTACCAGCACCTCTAAAAGCTCACTGATTAACAAGTTATTTGGTTTTACATACTTTAACTATTTCTTGGCTTTTAGCACGTAACTCACCTTAAAAACATTTTTTTTATTTTGTTTTTTGTACAGATTGAAAAAAACAAAATATTACTCAAGTTAGTCAGAGGCGCTAGTAGGCATATTTAACTTTGAACAGAGCAAGGCTAGCTGTTTCCCCCTGTTTCCTGTCTTTATGCTAAGCTAAGCTAAGCGGCTACTGGCTCTATTGTCAATAGACAGAAAGCATAGCCCCAATTTATCATTGATTTCCACTCAAATCTCTGGATCAATGTATCTGTCCTCACATACCTGTCTTCTGCTTTTCATTCTGTTGCAGTTAAAGACGACACAATTCATAATAAACCACAACTTCTTGCCTGTGAGTTTTCCCACTTCTCCCTTAATCCTCTTAATGCATTCATGTGAAATCGTGATTACACCACACAACGGGACGGCAGACGATCTTCTTTGTCTATCAGCAGTCTGCTGCAATACTGTGGCATTTTATGATCATTCGGTTCATTGTAGTTGTTCAGTCAGACAATGCGGAGAGGATGCCTGTACTCGATGTGCTCCTTCTGTGTGCAGATCCCTTTGTGGAAGAAGGGCCTGGTGTGAACGGTAACGGTTTCCTGCTGATTCATGCTGCAGTCAAACAGTCTCAGCAGAGTTCCTGCCATGCTTGACCCTTTGAACGCAAGAGGAAATCGAGCCTCTAACCTTGTCAGCGTGCTGCCTATCAAGCTGCAGCAGTTCAATTTAAAAATTCAGATATGTTATTCATAAGGCGCAGGCTCGTCCGATGAGCATGTGAGCACATGAACAATTCTCACCAGAAGCCAGAAACTGCAGTCTGGTCTGTAAAAGAACAGATCTCCTGAGTGTTAGTTTATGGTCAGATTATCTGAAATTATTGTGGTATTTGGTATATTTTCCAGTTGTGAGGGCTAACTATTGACACAAATTGTAATCTTTACTTTTGTGTGTCCATCTATGTGTGTTGTTCATGTGTGTGTCTGACAAGAATCTGTCTGACACATTCAAGGAGCTGTGAGACAGATAAGACTCCCTATAATGATTAATCTCGCACACACAGACACAACCACACACCTATACACACACACACACACACACACACACACACACACACACACACACACACTTCAACACGCACACATTCACACATGCACGGAATAATTATGAGAGTAATTAGCTTTCTCAGCAACTCAGAATCTTCATCGGTCCTCAGTGAGTATTAGCTTCTTCACCCAAGGCACATTTCCCTACAAAGCTCCCTGATTATTGTTTCGTCTCCCAGACTGCATTATCGCACAGTGCTTTTCCACAGCCTACGCTTCTGCAACATAAAAAGATTACAATGAATCCCGAAATTATTCCGGAGAAAATTCTCTCCTTGTCGCATGAAAATGATCTACGTGACATGACACTGCCATTGCGTACATAATCATTGAAGCTTAATAGCGGTCTGAAAACCTAAATTTGAATCCTGAGTCCTTCTGATAACATTCGTCCCTTGAGAAGAAGTGTGAAAATGACTTGTGTGATCGTGTGGCTCACAGTATTGCCGCCCATTTGTGTGTAGTTTGCATGCTTTCTCCCATCTCTGTGTGCTTTCGGTTCCTTCTGCAGTCCAAACACATTATATTGAACTGGAAGCTCTAAATTGCCCTTTGGTGTGAATGTGTTTGTTTACAAGTGTTAGCCCTGTTATAGAACTGGATAGACATGCAAAGTCAAATGCATGCTAGGCTCCAGCTCCCAACACACTTTCTCCAGCACAAGCAGCTTACAAAGTGGATGAACAGATGGTTGCGGCTGAATTTGTTAATGCTACTACAACGTTGAAGTGATTCTTTATAACACGTGATATATTTAAGAAGATATTAAACTAACGAATAAGAACAAACACTTATGTTTACTGCAGTGATAGATAATAAAAGTGAGAAGTAGGGTCATTTTGTCATCGATTTCTATACAATCTGATTTACCAGAGGAGCCGCCCCTGCTGGCCAGTAGAGAGAATGCCAGATTAAAAAACATTGGCTTTATTTTACAAAATGTGGGGTTGCTCACACTCCCTTTAAGGCGGACTAAACCAAATTGGAACCAGGAAAACCATCTGTGATGATTGATAACAATTACAGTTCACATTTCTTTGGTCGACCACATGACGTGTATAAAAGATACAGAGATAGAAGAGATAGACCAAGTTTATTAGTATACTGAATTCAGAGTCATATTGTTAACGCTACAGGTCCCAAAATAAGGCCTCATCTTGTTGTTAGTCCTCTGCAGTAATGCTGAATGTTTATCTGGGTTTTCTTATCCTCATTTAAAATTCAGCTGGAAGGAGTTTTGCATTGTTATGGAAATATGGAAATACCGTTTCTGTGAAAGTGTATTTGATGGTGTGTGCGAGTGTTTTCCTGTCGAGTTCAAAAAACGATATTATTCCTTGGTCATAATCGAGCTGCACGCTGACCTTTTGGGGAAGTGGATCTCTGGATACAAGATTATCACTTTCACAAAGCATTGGAGCAGGACCAGCAGACCACGTGGCGGCCCAGATCCTTTTAGAGAGTAGGTCCTTGGTTCTAGCAACAACACCAACTTTCCAATCACCCCCCACCTCCACCTCCCAGCTGTGTTTTCCAGAGCTAAAGCCTCCATAGCCAAGAACTTCAAGGCTGCTCAGCCTTTCTGGGTTTTCAGGAAGCGGCTGCTCCTTGCTGCTTTCTGTTGAACGGGTCATGTGTTCTGATATGATCAATTGTGAGCCGCTAGTGTTCGGGTCCAGAGTTACAGGAGCTTCAGAGAAAATATGGAAACAAAAGGGAACATTTAGTCAGATGTTTATTACAATAAAAGGTAAAAGTTTAACTTAAGGCATTACTGTGTATTTAGAGAACAGCCTGGTGTTTATTTGGTGATACATTTCATTGGTCACCTGTACATGGTACTGCAGATTAAAATGTAAACATATGGCAGAAACACTTCTTACTGTATTGGATTATGTCCTTCATCTTCTTCCAGACTGTGAACAGCAGGTTCCCCACATGTTTGGCCTCATCGATCAGGGCTCCTGATGGAGTCTCTGGGTCTGGTAGGTTGCATTGGGATCTGAAGGAATATTAAGCAGCCACCAAATACCAGTCAAATATTTTGAAATACCCCACATTGGTTGTCTTTTTATTTGGTGCATCTTCTCTGGCTAAATCATCAGTGACCCCTCTAGTAATTTGACATGTCAGTGGCAGAGTGCATCATTCCCACATAATGTCCCTACCTCCCATCAGCCCTGACTGTCACTCAGCTGTACTTTGATAGATAGTGTTCAGGAAACAACTTACCGCTCCATGGTGGATTTGACATTCTGTCAAATAAAGAGAAAACAGAATAACAAATCAATACCTATACATTTCTTTAAATATTCAATATTTAGATTAGAATATGAATTCACACAGGTAACCAGTACCATCATAAATGAAATGTCCTCAGCTTTCATCTCAGTCTCTATGGCTTTGATTTTGTCTGTGAGGGAGGAGATCTCTGCAGTCAAATTCACAATCCTGATGGCCATTGCTACACTCTTGAACTTTGCCTCCTTCCTCACTGCATCCATCCTAGCAGCCTCCTCTGCCTGCAGGAACTGGTAGAGCTTCTGAAACTCCTCTTTGATTGTCTTCTCAGTCTGCTGAGCCTGCAGCTGAGGAGGAGAAACACATTGTTTTTACGAAGGTAGCACATGTTGCTTTTTGCCGATATAACCATAATGCCTGAGACTTACCTTGATGTGGCCGGCAATTTTGTCACACTTGGATTTTTGTGCTTTAAATTTCCCCAGTTTGGTTTTTAAATGCATCATCTTAAGCTTGAGCGGGGCCTATAGAAATTAAAGGTGTATAAGTTAAATGCAGAGTGAACAGTGAATTAGCAACACATTTGCCTGCATTGTGCAATATAAAGAATTATGAAAACAACCAAAGCCAAGACATTTCTCAGCTGTTTTCATTAAACTATACGTATCTGCTTACCTTACAGGGTTCCACTGCTTCGTCGATGGGGACGATGTTGTGTTTCTTGTGTTTTTGTTCATCCCTACAAATCACACAGATGAGCTGTCGATCGTCCTGACAGAAGAGCTTGAGTTTCTCACCATGCAGTCTGCAGATCTCCGTAGATCTTGAGTTAGCTCTCTGAATCTTCTCCCGCCTCAAGGCCTCAGAAACGTCTCTCAGTGCCAGATTACGTGTAGGCTGAGCCATTGGAAACATTTGCTTACAGACCGGGCACGTCTGTTGTCCACTCTGTCTCCACCACTCCTGAAGACAGTGCTTACAGAAGCTGTGACCGCACAGCAACATAACAGGATCCTTAAATATATCGCAGCACACAGGGCAGGTATAATCCATTTCTGACGGCGATACGTTAGCAGCCATTCTGTTGATGTCTCACGTGGCTGTCAGACTACTTTCGCTTTCACAGATTCACTGGTATTTGCTCGGCCAGTGCTCAGGTTCGGTACTTTTAGGTCCAAAAAAAACAAAAATACTCATAAACCCCTTGTTACATAAAACGCGTCCTATTTACTAGATTCCCTTCCTCATTTGTTTTGTTTTCAAATACAGAATTGGCGTTAGGCGCAAAATCGGAGGAGTTCAAGTTTGTTTGTTTTTGAAAAATCTCTTGCAGTTCCATCCTGCCCTGTGCACATTAGAAACAATGACTAAAACATATATTTTCCCATTATCATAACATGATAACATAACATAAAGTTTGAGAGGACCACTCTTATAATTTGAGAGTTAATGGGCTTAATCTGGACTGTGTTGATGTGATCAGATTTGACGGGCAGTGCCGGCAACGTGAGCAAACAACCAACTGTCAGTATGTTTGGATTCAAATGTTTGGATTCAAACTCTGATTGGTGCATAGACATATTGCACATTATAACATCGTTTTTTAGGCTTAGGCAACACAACTACTTGGTTAGGATCAGAAAAAGTGTCATGGTTTGGCTTACAATAACTACGCTTGTAATAAGCTACGGACCTAACGTCAGGTGACTCAGTGGCGTAATGTCACGTGACATAGCGGTGTCAGTAAAATGCAGCTACAATTGTGTGTATTTATTTTATACGTTGTACTCCCTGATTTCAACGTCTTACATCTCTTTCCTCACAAGATGAGAGGTAACTTCATATAATCTATTTACTCGTTTTTGTCAAAACAGCTTCAATGACAAAATCAAATATTTGATGAATAAATAAATAAATATCTTCTGATTTCATGTTTATTTTTTGTTCCATCTTTAATCCTGAATGTTTCTGAGTAAATTTAATATGACAGGCTGAACACAAGTGAGCCGTCCTCTTTGTTTACCTTTTTTTTTCCGTCTCCATGCGTCCACTGGTTACATTGCAATGATTTGTGGGTAATTCCCTTAGGCTAAGTCAGCATACCATGCTGACCATGCTAAGTCAGCATAGCATGCTGACTTACGGAAAGGGTTCATAAAGGGCTTAAAATGTCTGCGAGAGAGCCCTCAAACACTTGACGATTTGACAGTGGGACATCCCTAAACCCTCAAGGACTTCGCGGGAGCGCACCTCAAAGTCCGTGAGTCCGTAAGGGGGGACATTGGGATTTGGCCAAGGACACTGAGCGGCATGTAATGCTGACGTCATTATAGGCCGGCGCACAGGCTCTGACAGTCAAAGAATACGCCCAACATGTCAAACTAAAGATCTAATTGGTTGAACACTATGACAATCAACAATATCGTCCCCATTTACTTTAATCACTGGCTGCAGGTGAGAGTGTGCAGGCCTGGGCCTCTCTTCTTACCTAGAGACACCGAGGTGAAATCTGATTGGATGAAAGCTCTACTTAAAACAAGCTGCACTGGAAGCAGAGCAACTGAGGAAGACAGTAGCTGTGCAATGAGAAAATAAGATAATGGGAAGGATATTTTTATAAATTATAATACATGTAGTGTATTTAAGAAAAATTATTAAATTATAAAATAGATATAGCTTTGTGATTCTGTTTAGGCCAGCAGAGAAGGCCTTGCAGGCCCTGACGGACCGCCACTCGTAAAATGACTTAACTTTTGGTTTGGCATGGGAAACAGACGTCGGTCCCCAGAGTTAAAGTCCTGTGTTTGTCTGACCCATCCACCGCCCCTCCCACTTGTCTCTCTACTACGTTTGTTGCTCCGAGTGTCTATTAATGATGGGTTTACATTAGAGTTAGTTGAAAGGCTGCCTTGCTGAGGCGGCTGTCAAGCTACCGAGAGCTATCGAGACGCAGAGGGCCGCTGCCCAGGCGTGGGTATTTAGCCCCCTAGGGAGTCTGACCAGGCTGAAACAAGTCTTCTGTCCAACATTTCAGTTGTTACAGTGAAGATAACAATGAATCAACAAGCAGCATTTATACATCACTGAGCACATGAACTCTCACATGGATACACAGCATACTCCTCGTGCTCTAACTCATCTGAATTTGTGTAGTTCTAACAAGCTCTCTCTCTCTCTCTCTCTCTCTCTCTGTCTCTCTCTCTCTCTTTCTCTCTCACAGCAGTTAAGCACAGGCCCAATAATAACTGTTGGGCATTAAATATTTAGACACAGAACAAGTGGCATTTCAGTTTTCCTGTCATCACAAAAGTTATTGAAGTGCATTGGTAAAAAAGTCTCATCTCACAGTAACCCCTGAAACTCAATTATACAGTGTTACCTCACTTCTACTTAACAATGTAATGATTGGATATCTATCTGTGGCCTCAAACACAGAGGTAGTTTGGTCACATTAGGAGCCTTTAGAGACAGATGCAGGCCTTGAATCCCATGCTGACCCACAGTTTTGTGAAAGCTGGAAATAATTTCCCACGAAAATCTCAATCCCCAATCTGCTTTGTACGAGAAGGAAAGCAGGAAAACGTGTCTACCCTCAGTGCTTCAAACTACTACCACTGATCCCGTCTGCATTCATCACCTGTCAATATTTATGAGTTAGCAAACACCGCCCTCAATTCAATGTTGAATAAGACATGCTTGTGTATTGATCCGCCCGCAGCTGCGTCTACTTTAATGGAATAACTAATCTGATGGCCTCAGATAAATGGGCTCATTAAAGTGAACACTCACAGGCACGCACTGCATTCAAAATATAACAATCGCAAAATCAACATGTTGATTTGTCTCATTTTCCTCATCTGATAGTGGTATTACCCTTCAAATGCACTTCACTATCTAAATAGTAGTCAGTGTAGAAGTTGCACACTTCCCAATCAACACGGTTGCATGAATGAATGGGTGAACGTGTTTTGTTGGTCTTTCCCTCTTTGATTCTCTCTATGACTGTTGCTTTTTGATGATGGTTGGGAGTGTTGTGTGAATGAAAGACAACTTTGATCGAGCATGAATCTCTTCATCCTTCACAGTGAGTTCTCTCGTCTCTTTTCTCCGTGCGTCGCTGTCCATGAACGAGCCTGGAGGCTACAGGTTTCACTTTGAATTCTGTCTAAGTGTTAGTAAAGGCCCTCAGTCCAAGATGGCGCCACTCAAAACATGCTGCTTGGTAGTGAAGAGAGTGAATGTAAGGACACGCCGGGAAATAACGATGAAGAGAAAACAGAGGAACAGAGTTTAATTCACAAGTCTGACTCGATGCTTGAACTCAGGAGCACCAGGAGCATTAACTAGAACCACCTGAACCTACTGTACCAAATATGCTCCAAATTGACCAATCATGAAAATCATCCAAGCTTAGCTTAGCAGGTCTGTGAACTTTGAATCTCTCCACATATTGAAGCAGCATGCTTGGGGCTGTAGTAAGAGCGACACAGGACATTTTAAGAGTTTGGAGGGTGGTGCATTCATTTTTACCTTTTCAAGACCAAAAACACAAGAGCAAAAGTATAAGGAATGGATTAAACAGTGTTTGTCTGCTCTAACGTGAGCTGCACACGTTAGCATATCCTGCTAGTTAGCTTACTACCTACAGTAATAACTTAACCCAGTGTTATTTCCAAGGCCAAGAAGTACTTCATACTACGCTATTAAAGAAGCAAAGGACATGATAGCACATCTACAGTCTGAAATACCAGTCTGATTTGACATTTTCTTCATGAAACTCACAGTACTAGTACTAACTATAGCTCTACACAGCAATACCTGAACAATATTGCTTCTTTATGTCCATGTCTTCTGCATGGATCATAAACTGGTGAGGATGCTGGGACATGCAGCTTTGGCCCCTCAGTCTATTAGCACGATATTATGTCCGTAGCCATCAAGTGCATATTTAAGAGTTTATGTTTTAAAACAAGTCAGCAGGAAATTGTCTTTGCCTGACTTTTCAACCAACTCTTTGAGCTTAATTAGCAGCTGATAAATCAGTTGTGACAAAATCCACAGTTCGCGACTGGTTTCCTAGCTTAGTCTGCGATCAGGGACACATCATTTTAAATAAATACTTTAAAATGTCGATGCTAAAGCTGCCTCGGTTATCACTGTAAAATGCATATGCGCCTGGATAGAGTGAGGAGCTTAATATGTGCAGCAACAATGGTGCAGCTTAGTGAAAAGTTAATAGATCGAGAAAGAGTGGCTTTCACCGCAGGATGAATATAGACATCAAACTATTTTTTCAGGCTTTTGGGGTCCGCTGGAAAATGTGTGTGTACATGCATGTGTGTGAACGTGTACTTACAGCTATCCTCTTCCTCTGAAATGAGCTTGACCACGTAGCAGGCGTAGATAAACCCCATCAACTAGAGACAAAGAGAGCAGCAGAAACATTATTCTTTTGTGCAAGACAGAGAGCCAGACAGACAGGTAGATAGATAACAGGGAAAGCATGCACATTTAACTAACTGTTTAAACAGACAGGGAAAACAGGTGTTGGTGTAAGTGGAGCAGAACAGCTCTGTGGTATTTTGCTTCCAAATAGAGCCCTTGAATCAACGGACACACAGGGTGACTAGCATCATCAATGACAACTTCAAATTTAGCCTAAAGTTTCATGGTTCCCAGCTGTATTGACACTGTTTTAATACACATCTTTAAAACATACAACTAATATAAAAAAAAAAAGGATTGTCACAATGTCTCCATTATGGCGCTGTGGGTAAACATTAGTGAGATTGTGATCACTGAAATTGAATTTCCAGCTCCCCGTGTTACTTCGGTGTTGCGATGTCAAGGTTGATAGTTCCCTATTTGTTCCCTCAGCGCCGCCGCCCACTCTGACAGGGCTTTGTTGTGCCGGGGTGTAACTAAACGCAGAGGTGTACCTCGCATTGTTCTCTCTCACGGTCCCACCTCCGATTGGAGCCGTTCACAAACATGAAAACAACGACGGCTGCAGATTGAAACAATAAAGGGGCTACAGTGCTGCGATACTTTAAACGAGTCTGTGTGTGTGTGTGCGGTGTTTAGACAGTGATATAGCCGTCTTCACTAGCAGAACACCTTTGCGCTCTGATCTCCTCTCCCATTGGCTGTCTGTTTCCAAGGCGACCTGTCGGAGGTGGCTGATGGGAGGGAAGATGCGGTAAGGCGCGGTCAATGTAAGGTCGGCCTTTTAGCGACCTTATTACTACCCCCGCAGCGTTAGAGGAGGAAAAGAGAGACGCAGGCCGGCAATGATGGGCGTATATGTGTTTTCATGAGGCATTAAACTAACACATTAACCTGAATATAGAGGCCATGTTGTTCAAAAGAAGATTTAAGTCTAAGAAAAATGACATTGACCTGGTTGGTATTCTATTGACTACATGGACACATGCCAGCACGCACGCAAATACACAGGGAGCTGACATTTGAGATTCAGAGTATACCTCAAGGTCTTGACCTCATTTAGTCTAAATAATGTTGAGCTCCCAGAGCTCCTCTCTCCTCCCACCTTTTTTCATACTTTCTCCCTCTCTTCCTATTTACCTTCCCGCTTCTGTTCTTTTCTCTCTTCCACCGCTATCTCTATTTCCTTCCCTCCTTTTCTTCCTTCCTCCTCCTTGTTTCTCTCCCTGTCTCTCACAAGTACATGACTCATAGAAATATAGTGTTTTGCTCAGTGGGAGATGAATTCACTTAAAGCTGAACCAAACACTGGAAGTAGACAATGCTGCGAGTATCAGCATGGGGATCAACAGTGAGGAGAAAATCAATTTGGATAACGTAGGAGGCTTCGTGAGTCACAGATGTCTCGCAAAATTACCACTGGTCAAAGGCGGTTTACTGGCTATAAAATCTCAGTGGTCTCTACCATTGACAGCAGTAATAGCAGAAAGATTAAGATGACCTCAAGCCAAAGAGTGCCTCTCCTATCCGCTGTCACTCCAGCTAAAATGATTCACTACCAGCATCCACTTAAATGTCACAAAGTCAAAAAAATTATGTTTGAAAGACTTTCAGGAGTTTGGGGAGTTTTTTTTCCCTGCCACATGCCCGTACAAGCTGAACCGGAGCCCGTCGTGCCTTCTGCTGGCTCATTGCCTCCGAAAATGACTTTTGGGTGCAGTTTTGTTAGAGCCACTGAACAGAGTGCAGAGAGCGTCGCCGCCCGGCTATACAGAACATTTGATCAGCTGTGATAGAGCGCGTTTCTCTGCACATCAATATCCTGTTAATATTCTGGATACTCAAGTATTCCATTTTGGTGTTGCTGCATGTAAACATAATATCCTGTCTATACAATAAACCTGATTTGATCTTCTCCCGATGTGAAGGAACCCAAATAAGATTGGTGAGGGTGCACCAATATTAGCTACGGGGTTGAGCCTTATCTTGTTTATTGTTGGACTTCTGGCGCCTGGAGTTATATTTGGACTACCTTGCTGCTCTTGAACCCCATACACTTAAATATCTATCATTTTGAGTTTTGCTGAGATGAAAAGTTCCCCATGAAATAGTTTTAAGTACATAATAAAATCTCCGACAAGAGATCGTGATATGACTAAGAATAAGATGAAAAACATCCAAACAACCATCTGAATTTCTTAGCCCACAACACTTTACTGACCTTGAGGGTAACTTTATTTATTTATTTTCTCATCTGCAATATTTTACTCACAGTGACTCATGCATTGAAGCTCACAGCATTCAGATTATTATATTGCCACCAAGTAAAATAACAAAGTAACATTGGGGAAAGGAAAAGTTTACCAAGGGTTATGTTAAAAATTGTATATGAATATTATATTACCTTTCACACTGGCCCTTTAAACTCAAAACAACCTCTTTCGACTGTTCCATTTTCACTGCCATTTCAACTTCTTTCACTAATTCTATTTCAAATGCTACTTCAACTTCTTTCAGTATTTCAACTATTTCAGGTGTTGCAACTGAAGTTCTTCTTTTCTAAAGAAAATGTATCCTTTTCTAGATTCAAACTATTTTTGAGGATCTAATGAATTGATAACAATTAATAATGGTGACTGACCGCCGTTTGTTTGTGTGTGAGAATAAAAAGAAAAACAAGCATTTTAGCTTCTTTGTTGTTGGAAATATTTCTTCCGTGGTTTTGCAGCTTCTGTCTGCATTTGTAAGGACTGAATTAAAGTGAGTTTCTCCAGGGTTTCTGGTTCCTTTTCCTTTCATTTTGTCTTTGGATTAAGGTTACCTAGTTACCGCAGCAATACTGAAGGGTGTTCGGTGTGACAAGTGGAAATGGAAATGGCACCACTTAAGCATAGACAGGATCCCTGCCCTGATCAGCCTGACAAGCAATAAATTGTACAACTTCACCAATTCCCCTCACAGAGGCATGCACCTCATTCAGAGCAGAAACAATTTTAATGGGGTTTTATGTGCACGGTGACACTCACTATCCCAGGAGGCAGGGAGACAGTCTTTATCCCATGTCTTAAAAATACCGTGCAGCAGGTGCTTGTTGCCATTATAAACAGTGTAGTTAGTTAAGCAACTGTGAGTCAGCAAAGCATCTATTGTCTTAAGGCAGGGATGAGTAAGGGTAATAAACTGTCAGACGTGCGTGTACTTTCCTCTCCACATTAGTTGACAGTAACATTTATTTTCCCCTTCAGAGCTCGAACCGAATGTTCCGAACAAACGTTGATAATGATAATGACTCCAAAGTGGGCTTCCTGCAGTGCAGATGCAACCTTTATTTTCACAATCCCCTCTCAATTCTTTTTTTACCATCTGGGTTTAGCGTGTTAGCATGCTAACATTTGCAAGTACTTTTTGACCTGACGATGGCGCTACATTGGAAGTTAAACCATCACTAACGTCTCTACAATTCATCCTGAAGGGGAAAATGAATGTGTCCATCAAACTGACAACGACAATCAATCCAACAGTAGTCGAGACATTTCGCTCAAAACCACAAATGTGAACCTCACGGTGGCGCAACATGAACAGTCATCAGGACGCATCTTCTGGGCACCATGAATGTGTGGAGCAATTTTTTTTTTTTTGCAATCTGTACGGTGCAATAGCTGTTGAGATATTCACGACATTCTGGTGGACTGACCGACCAAACACAGGCAGATATTTCCATTCCTATAGTCTCACAAACTTATTGTAGATAACCAAAACTTTCAGGCACTAATATGAGATCATAAAACACAATGGGTATTTGTACTTTTAGCAGCAAATAAATCATATAATAATTACAAAATTGGCCATTTGTTTTCTTTATTTCTACCGGAGTAATGATGTAGCATACAATATCAAGCTACTTGGACATTACTGCCCCAAAATGATCCAGAATCCCATAAAAGTGTAGGGCTCCATTTGCCATGCGGCAAAGAAATGTCATTTAACTAAAAAAGAAAACTGAATCATCATTGTCTCCTACAATAATGAAGTCCCAACTGCTCCCTCAGCAGAGATTCTGATAACACCTGGACGTTTTTAAAGGAGCTTGGGGAGAAATTAGTTGAATGTCAAACAGCTGGTGTTCGATTAGGAAAGGGGGAACCTAAAGTATGTATTCTGCATAGCCTGAGACCAAGGACAGGTGACATGGGGTAAGCAGTTATAGGTCAGTCACCCGGTGACGCAGTTTGTCCTCCACCAAGGAGGAAGGTGAGGTTGCATTTTGCCAAAACAATCGAAGTGGAAAGTGCTGATGGCACCGCATCTTCCCCCCTCAAGGTTTGAAATGAATCAGCTCACAGGTTGATGTACGACCAACATTTCTGCAGATCATGACGTTATTTAGATCCATAATGAATTCTTTCCCATTGCCTGCGACTTTCCACCCTCAACCTTCACACCGTTTATGAGGAATCTTAATTGTAGAGTTGTTTGCCTGCCCGTGTGATAATCTCATTTGTGTTGGGTGCATTACTCTATTATGAAAACGTATTCATCTCAAACGAGAGAATCCATTACGGCCGGCATTTTTCTGCTGCGGATAAATTGTGCCACGAAGAAGGTGTCACGTTCATTGGATTAAATCTGTTTTGTGCTGAAGATGCCCACTTAAACTCAGACTAATGTTTTGCTCTCTGTGAATTATTTGTGAGGAAAACATTTTGTCAGCCAGTCAAAGCTGCACAAAAATTGCTGCAATCAATAATTATGTCCAATCACTTTCATTTTAATTTGTTGGTGCTGTTTGATGATTGCGTAAAACTGCACACAATTTACAGCAACAACAAATGAATCACAAATTAAGTGAAATCCAGTATCAACCACGCTCACCCCCCAATTTTGCGGCTGCCATTAGCATCACTTCTTTCAAGCTTTTCTTTAATTGATTCAGGAAGTTCTTAGGTGTCTTAATCTGAAAGAAATGGGAGGTTTCACATATTCAGCAAATGTGGGATTAGTGCTTCAGAGCACAGCAGTTGCTTTGGTTGACTGACATTCAATTCTCATGCATTGTTCTTTCTCTTCCCTGATCTTTGAATAGCAACAGCTATTCAAAGCTCGGGTCCCAGTGCTGCTTCCATGAATACAATTCAACCTTAACATGACATCATTGTCTCTGGTCAAAGACGACAATGTCACACTCAATTCAGTCAATGAAAATCAAAGTAAAAACAACACTTCATATGCAAATGAATCAATTTATTTCCCCCATGCTGAACGAGGAAAACTAGAAACCTAGTAATAATAATATGACAATATTTCTCCTTTGTTGTTTGATTATAGCAACTGGTCTACTAAGGCTGCAGCCTTTTTTTTTGCCACCGTTCAAAAATAGTTTGTCTGTAAATTATCAAAAATTCTAAATGTTATCCTTTTACTTTGTTCATCTATAGTGTTTTTTATTTCTTCATAAAAACACACAATTAAAATGATAAGGAAATACAAGAATGCTAACTTGTTAAACCTGCTAAACCTGAGCATGTTAGCATGATACATTAGCATTTAGTGAAAAGCACCGCTGTCTCACAGAGCTGCAGCATGGCTGTACACTTGTCGTATAAATATATGCATGATAGTTTAGTATCATGTATATATTTGGTGCACGCAGAACAATCTGCAACTGGAAAGTTTACTCTGAAAGTCATGACTGTCTTAAAAGTTTATATTGCCTGATGGTTATGGGCCAAAACTCATTCTGGATTTTACACCAGAAATATGTCAAAGTTATCAGCCAATTCTGTGCAAAATAAACTTGACTGTTGTTCAGTATTCAGTCTAAAATGTGTGCGCAGTCTCTCAGTAAACTGTTTCAGTGTGAATATGTGTAACATTAAAACAAGCAGCATAGATAATGATTATTTTCATCACATGAACACATAACATTACGCAGACAAGGCTATTCAACTGTTTGCTGTGGATTGTTGAGTGTACAGTATGGATCAACCAAAACCAACAAGTGGGTGATTTCACTGATCAGTTCCTCCACTCTGGTTGAAGTTATGCTAATCACTGACATTACTTGCAGGCCTGCACTCTAGATCACTGAGCCGGCAAGAAGGCTCATTTTAGACGTGTTTTTGTTGTTGCAAAATGTCATTTAATTATTCTGTGCTACTAGCAGGTAGAATAAAGCTGAAAGAAAACATAACTGTGATCACAGAAGTCTTACTCGCACATTCCCCCTCTGTGCTGCAGTGTGGCAGTGATGGTGTTAGCCTACATTTCACTGAGGACTCTCTGGATCTCCCTGGAGAAGCCCTATGCTCTGCTTCAGCTCAGATCTTCATACGGTGCACAAATTATAAAGACACTTCTGGTGCGTTTTTTTTCCAGTTTGGAAACTAATCTGTCGGTTAACTCTTCAAAAACAACACAGTCATTTGCAGTCAGGGCATCCATCCAGAAGTGCTTCTAATTTCTGAAAAAACATCAGCCTCACCTGTCACAAATATCCCCCTTCTTTTTATTGCCCAGTACCAGTTAACCAGCCAGCTACCAGTAAACAGGCAACCAGTCAGCTTAGAGTCCAGCCTAACCGAACCATAACCCCACATTTAGTCAGCCGGTGGGCTGGTTGAACGTATGCTATTAAGGACCCTGACAGCGTTTCCACCAATTACAGTAAACCAGCCAGCCAGTCAGCCAGTGAACCAGTCAGACTGTTGAGTGTGTGTGCTCATGGAGCATGACAGTGTTTCCACACACCAATTACTGCGAGACAGTGGTACAGCCGTGTGGTGGCTTGGCACTCAGCCACACTATAAGTACCACTATCGATTGACAGAGTGCACGAGGAGAGCGGGCGCGCTCGCGAGAGAGACGGTCCTGCTATGTGAGGGAGGAAGACGCAGAGTGAAAAAGACATGCTGAGACTCCCAAACTCTTTCTCTCTTTCCGTTGGTGAAGCGATGCATGCAGTCAAATTGAAGCGTCGGTTTGTTTATTGCCCTGTATTCATAATTGTGAGCTTCATTACGGAGGAGAATGGGATGAAAGGTGACAGGCCTCCGTCATCCTCCGCTCTGTATTTCTCTCTCTCTCTCTGCTGTCTCTTCTGATCTTGCTAATTATCGCAGTTTGACAGTGCAAGAGAAGAAGAAATACAGAGGGCGAGGGTAAGTGACAGGCAGAGGGAAACAGAGAGAAGGAAATCGCTTTTTGTAAGAATGTAATAAGACGGAGTGAGCAAGAGAGAGATAGAGAGAAAGTCTTCCAAAGCAGCTTATCCAGCCCTTTCTATGTTAATGAGGGTTATTAACTTAACGGAGCCTGGGTGCTTTTATTCAACCACAAAGTTGCACAGTTACCCACAATTGCCTAACCCATGGCAACAGACAGAGTTGGCACGGCATGGTTGTAATACACTTTAGAATGCATTAAACTAAATGTATTGGTGACTGTAACTGTACAGAACACCAATTTAATAATTGCATTAATTTCAAAGCACTGCATCACACACACACATCACTAAAAGCACATAATGTAACTACCGCATATAACACAGAGACTCACACAGCAGATCTTTTTCAATGAACACCTAATGCACTAAAATGTCATAACTAAAAGAAATAGTTCAATAATTTGGGATTTTTTTTTTTGTTGCTGCTTTTTTTCCCTGAGAGTAAAAATGAGAATATCAATACAACATCAATCTGTATGGATGAAATCTCTCATAATATTCAACCCGCTCATATCTGCCCCATGGAGCTTTCTCCGCTCCTTGTTTTGTTTGTGCTGATCTGAACTATTAGGCCGACCTCACCGCTTTCATCAGCGAGCAGAAGAGACAGAAGAGACAGAAGAGACAGAAGAGACAGAAGAGACAGAAGAGCGGCTAGCTGGTAAACATTTTGCGGCTAAAGAGCCGGATATTTCCCCGAGGAGTTGTTGGAGGCAGGGAGAGCGAATATTGGTCTTACACTTGTTGAGTGGCTCGAGTTGCTTCTCCAAATAAATGCAAACACTGTTTCCTGTCTGTTGAATGTGTTAATATGAAGCTGTTTGCTAACAGTTGTATTGCTGTTTAAAGTAGGCTATACAGTGCTGGAGTCACTGTTTGTTGAGCCTAATTTAGCATAAATACTCAAACAGTCAGCCTGGCTCTGTCTGGAATTTGAAAGAAAATGCCTTCAAGTGTTAAAACATAGATAATTAGTATTTTGTATGTTTGGCTCATACAACAAATTAAAAAACAACTGTTCTATTGTATTGGTTACATGCAGATTCAATCTACCATGAATGTCTAGCAAATTATCGCTAACTGTGAGATGACTGAATAACATTTCTTACATTTTAGCTTTGGAATGGCGATACAAAAACAAAACAAGACCCTACAAACTCTTTGGATACTGAATATCACTTTTACTAGAACCTAATCTTTCTCACAATACTAACTCGCGAACACTAACCTGTGCTCACAAATAATATGGACAAAGCCAAGCTGGCTGCTTCCCTCTGCTGTTAGCCCTCATGCTATCCAGCTACATCAGTAAAATACACAAGGTTCATTTACTGTCTCGTGTCCGAAAGAAGCAAATATGAGTAATTTGCAAAATGTTACGTTACTTTTTTTATTTTACTAAAATAAAAAAATATGAAGACAAATGTCTGTTTACAACTGTTACATAGTTAAAGCAGCACCCACCGTGAGCGACCGGTCGCTCCCGTTGTAACGCCCAGATGTAACAATGTGAATACTATATACTAGAAAGTATTTATTTAGCTGAATTACTTACAGCCAGGAGTATCTGCAGCGAGGAGTGGGCCACCTCTATGAACTGGAAATCCATCAGGCAGCCGGATATAGATATATATCGGTGGTCCTCGGGTGCCCAGGAGGGAGGAGGGGTGATGGGTGTCACCCTGCACCCTGGGCCGTTCTCCATCCACCAGGAGCGATGCATGGACAGGTTGAACGTCAGGACAAGGTCAGAGTCCTGCCAAGAAAGAGCCAGGGAGACGGACAGAAAGAGTTGAATTACATCAGGAATGAACTACGACACAAAGCACACCTGGAACAAGGCAGCAGTGCAGGTTATATAACCAGGTTTTAATTTAAAGCAAACTGTTTGTTAAATCGAGCTCTGAGAGATAGAGACATTGGAGGAGAGGGTTTGGCGCAAGCTAAAAATAGATCTGTAATTCCAATGATCTGGGATCACTCAGATTAGATCTGAATCATGCACAGGCCGGGTTATGATAAGGACAATAGGGGAGGGAGAGGGAAGGATGATGGGAGGAGGCCATGAAGAGAAAGGAAGAGGGAGGAAAACGGAGGAGAAGCTTGGAGAGGGAGGCAGGAAGGGAGGGGAGGGAGCTGCAGCAAAACTTATTCTAGCCCCCTAAAAGAAAGGCTCGAAATCAATATCCGTGTGCTATATTTAGAATATTTTCACTGCTTTATCTTGTCGTAAGGCAGCCCTTTTTCATTGGGGAACTGAACTGAAAGTGAAACTCATCCATGCTCTCGTCAAAGCCACCAGGCTCCGTTAACAAGAACAGTATAGATAAGTTCGGCTTTCAGTGCAGTTCCCCGTTGGAAAATATTCTAAACATGGTGTACACATTGATATTGATCTTTACAGGTGGGCCTTTTGCTCAGGTGGCTAAAATAAATGTTGCTGCTGCTCCGTCCTCAGCAGTACATAGCTTTGCTCCCGTGCCGGTACTCGTGTCTGAGTCCGTGCCGACCGCCATCTACTGTAGGTAGTAATACACTGACTATGGATAAGTACCTCATGCAACCCCACTTCAAATAATCCAAACTATCCCTTTAATATGAATGTGGCAAACATCACTGAGGGGTTATCTTGCCAAACTGGCACAAGGGCTCCAAAACAAATAATGGATGGATTGTGATGACATTTTGTAAAGAGAGTCACGGTCCACAGAGAATGCATCCTACTTACTTTGGTGACCCCCCCCTGACACTTGCTCCATCGCTATCATGAGGCTGACATTTTTAGTTTTGTGTGAAACTGCGGTGGGTAGCCATTCAATTGGCGGAGGTATTCTTGGTGCCGAGTGGATAAATCCTTTCAATTTTGGAGATCGCCCAAGATCTCATCTAGCGCCACCAGCAGGACAAAGTTATCAAGCATCCTGGGAAATATGTCGACATCTAAAAGATGGGCTGGCTAATTGTTATATATATTCATGGTCCCCAGAGAATGAATCCAAATGACTTTAATCCCATGATCCTCCCTCTAGCTCCATCATGATTGATTTAACGTAGTTTATGACCAAAGACCTTATAATCATATTCCCATTAGCCTCAGCCAAAAATTTTGTTTAGTGCTATTAGGCACATGGACGGTCATTTAGTCTTGTTGTTCTACAGATACGGAGACATTGTCTTCTCTTTTTAAACTTCGTCCACCACAGCATGAGCAGTCCCGTCACTGGCAGAGATAACTTTAAACAACAACCAGAAGCTGCAAAGAACAGCACAACTGTCAAAGAGTAAATAAACAAACATTTTTGCCGGGTTGTTGTTTGGGTTCTACTTCCCCGTAGCAGAGAGAGAGGCCACGTAGCAATCGCCCCTGCAGTCTGCTTTGGCTCCTCTACAAATCCTTTTAATTCTAAAAGCCTAAAAGACGCACGATAAATCAGTTATGATGGTCGTCTTGGTTTAAATAATGCAAATATTAACGACTCCACTTAGCAAGGAGAGACATAGATCATTCCACAGATGGCCGTGCAAACCGCACAAACTAATACGCACACTAACAAATACATTACGCACACACACGTGCTTCTTTGTCTTGCACTGCTTTGCCATTAGTCTAATGAAAAGCCTTAATGCTCTTTAAAAGCATGCTGAAAACAAAAACGGACTCATTTCATTTGCTCATTTCTTTTGCCGTGATGCATCTTCTTTGTATACCAAGACATCAAAAAGTTCTAAACATTTCCAGTTCACTTCCAGTTCATTTGCAGTTCCTTTAAATCTAAAACCAGTAACAGCATCACAGAGTATTAAATATTCTCGCTAATGAGGCAAAACCCCGCTCAAACTACATTTTTACTGCGAAAACACACATTTAATGACTACAATATAGGGGAATGAAGGGGTAAATAGTCCCATAAAGGTAGGAAAGCTCATCATTTTTCAACAGGAAACACTTTTACACCAGGACTTATCGTGACTTATTCTAGTGACGACCGCGAATGATAAGTAAACAGAGTCAGGGATTCAGTTCTCACGTCAATATCGGTTTCTTAACTGCATACTCCACTTTGTCTATATCTACCTGTACCACTAATCCTCTCACCGCATCCCTGGACTCCGTCACCTCCCTCAATATTGTTCTTGCTTAATTTTGAACCGTTCCCCTGTCTATTAATTCATACAATGGTCTCTCTTTCGTCTCTCTGTCCCCTCCCCTTTTTCTCCCCTCTTTTTCTTCCTTGGCCTCTCTCTATTTCAGCGTAATGAGTAAATGCCTCATTAGCGCCGAGCTTGATTAATGCCATCTCCCCTTGTTGTGCTCCTCTTTTTAATGAGTAAAATCTCTCTAAATTTCTCTCTCGCTCCTTCTCTGCCACCACTCTCCCGCCGTCTGTCTCTTCCTGTCACTGCCTTGCTCCAAATCTTTCTCCCTCTATTCTCATATTTCATCCCCTCTTTTCTTTCTTGCCCCCATTGTTCACCGGTCTCTCTCTCTCTCTCTCTGTTAAATGGGGTTGCAAGGGAGGCAATAATTATTTCAGTACAGTCTCTATCAGTGCTTTTCTAATGAGCCTCTCGAAGAAACACACACACACAAACACACACACACTCACACATAAACAAAAAAGGTAATTATGAGGGAAAAGCTGAATTTGGCAAAATGCAGGATGCATTGCTTCTAAGTCTGCAGTTTTCTCTCACGTTGTGAAGGCAATGAATGCTAACCACTTGCGGAATGTGGGAACAACATAAGTTGCAACTTCATTCAACTTGAGAGAAGACAAAGCAGCACTCATTGATTTATACGTATAGCTATAACAAAGAGCATTTCTAAAAAGAGCTTATGTAAATTATAAACATGACAAAATAAAATAGCACTAGTAACGAGAACAGGTAATCACTCTGCTAGAAAATGTGTAGAAATTGTTTATCCGCTTGGGAAATTATCTTTCTTGCTGAGAGTTAGGTGAGAATCTTTTGCATTTACCAAAATGTCTATTGTACCCGTAGTGAAGCCCTGTCATGTGATGCCATGTTGTCTACATGGTTTCATTTAGCCTCATCAATGTTAAACAAACCACATGGAACAACAAAAGAGACCCAGAGAGGAAAGGTACTCCTCTCTGGTTTTGCTCTCCATTCAGCTGTGTTTGAGGATCCTGTGCATGAGTTCATTGAGGTTACAGGGTCGGTAATAAAGCTTGGAACCAGACTGGTACTAATAATAAAAACCTGCATTATCTCCTTTCTATTCATCCGGCAGCAGTGAGCCGCAACAACAGACCTCTACCCCCACAGAATGGGAAAAGGAAAATTATATTAAAAATCACATTCATTAAGCTCATTTTTCCAAAAGCATAGTGCCAGTGTGTGAAGATACTTTTGCAATAAATAAAAAAATCCCCAAATATGAACAGTTTCAGTGTTCACAACCTGCACAAACGACTTTCCAATTATTCTACATTTACCAGTGGAATACAAAACAATTAGATTGTAGCTGCGCTGGCATTGATGTATTGATTCTATATGGTGGGATTTAACCCGCCAGGATGATGAAGCCAGAGCTCCACAATAATGTTGAGATATTAATCTGTCCGGCGATGAATGGGCTTGTTTGGCTTGCAACTTCAAATAAAAAATATTGACTAGATCTGTATTAGTATATAGAGCTCTCTCTCTCTCTCTCTCTCTCCCTCTGTGTGTGTATGTGTTCCTTACGAAGCGCCTGACTGTTTGTCTCT